ACTGTTGATGAAGATCTTGTCTATCCCTTAACCACAGGTTTGCAGCCCTTTGTAACTCTATTTCATTGGGATCTCCCTCAAGCCCTTGAAGATGAATATGGTGGTTTTTTGAGCCCCTATATTGTGTGAGTACTTTCCTTATCAAACCTTCTAAGTAATATACACACAGGCTCCCCTTAATTCCCTTGTAAATGGTGTAAACTCTATCATCAGGAAGGATTTTGCAGACTATGCAGAGTTGTGCTATAGAGAATTTGGTGATAGAGTGAAGCAGTGGATTACTTTAAATGAGCCAATCACCTACACAGCTCAGGGTTATGCATATGGATTATTTGCACCAGGAAGATGCTCCAAGTGGTTGCCCTTCAATTGCAGTGCTGGAGATTCTATTACTGAGCCCTACCTGGTCACTCACTACCAGATTCTTGCTCATGCAGCTGCTGTCAAAGTCTATAGGGACAAGTACCAGGTTACTATAGGAACCATTTTGTAATGCACTGCAGATTAGCACAAAAAGTAGTGTCATTATCAAATTAATTTCTTGATAAATTGGAAGGGGTAAATTTAACTGGAAGTGGTTTTATTTTGTTTAGATTTCTCAAAAGGGACAAATTGGGATTACATTGAACTCCCCATGGGTAATACCACTTTCTCAGTCACAAGCAGACAAAAATGCTGCATCTAGGGCCCTTGCATTTTTGTACGACTGGTAATTTTTCTTCTTTTAGCTCCACATCAATTCAGTGGTTATGGTTTATATAAATTGAATAAGATAACATTTTCTTTATTGGTGATAATATGCCTAATGGACAAGCTGACCTAACTCATTATTTCCTGACTTCTGAGGTTTATGGAGCCATTAAACTCTGGATCATACCCGGTTGAAATGGTTAATAACGCTGGCGAAAGATTGCCAAAATTTTCAAGGGAGCAATCCTTGATGGTTAGAGGATCATTTGATTTCATAGGACTTAACTATTATACTGCAAGTTATGCAGCCAATGTCCCTTGCACAAAAGAAAACCAAACTTTTTTCACTGATGCGTGTGTTCTTCTCACAAGTAAGACTCAATAGGTGAAAATGAAATATATATTTTGGTTTCAGTTTGTTACTCCTTATGCTTCAGAATGCATTTGTTTACTTAAGATCTTTATTTGTTGCATCAGCAATGAGAGATGGAGTACAGATTGGTCCAAAGGTAAATGCATATGTTGGGATAACTGCTTATCACATTAAGGTTTTGAAAACTTCAATTTTCATTATTCAGCTAGAGAACAAGCTTAAAAATGGGGTTGGCTTCAAATTGGAAAGGGAACTGCAACTGTTTCATTGAAGGAAATATCACATTACCTTCAACAAAATTAAGTAAAAATATTAGAAAGCAATTCATTTGAGAAAGTGTGAAATTTGCAGGCTGCCTCAGACTGGTTATACATCTATCCTAGAGGTATTCAAGATCTTTTACTATACACAAAGGAAAAGTTCAACAATCCAGTCATTTACATAACAGAAAATGGTAAGTTTCTACCAATAAGAACTTGTATATAACTGAGCCAAACTACCATCTCTTTTACCTAACAATATAATGCTTTCTTCTTCACACATCAAATTTCTTCAATGAACCCAGGGGTTGATGAACTTAATGACAGTACAAAATCACTTGATGACAACATGAGAGTAGACTATATCAGTAACCATCTTTCCTATATTCTTAGTGCCATAAAGTGAGTTTCTTTTGTAATGTTCCACTTTCAGTTAGCCTGTGCCTGTGCCATTCTTTAAGGAATTTGTTACTTAAACTAAGACAAATACAATTGGCAGGAATGGTGTCAATGTCAAAGGCTACTTTGTGTGGTCATTGTTGGACAATTTCGAATGGGCAGATGGATATACAGTTCGATTTGGAATTGTTTATGTTGATTATAAGAATGGATTAAGCAAATATCTAAAGAAATCAGCTGAGTGGTTCAAAGAATTTCTACATTGATGGAATTGAACTTGTGCTACTCTTGAGTGTCTTAAAGGCATAAATACTTAGTAAAATGCATCCAATTGTTGAATCCTGTATTGCTTCTTATTTTAGCTCTTGTACTTGATCTTTCACTTCTTTGCTTCAGCTTATTAGCGTTCCCAACCAAATGTTTGTCCTACAATTGGCTACAGTGGCCAAGAAAATAAATAAAAATTACTTATATCACTCTACCATTTTGTGATCCTACCATTTTTATCATGAGAAATTATGTCTTTATTTGAAATTGGAATATACATATAAAAAATATATTTTTTTAATAATTTATTTGTAAGAAAAACTTTATTAATTACATCAACACCCTCCTTGATGATACACTAACAGCACTCTCTTTTTGAAGTCCACGTATGTGTCCATCATATAGTCTGGTAACCCTCAACTTTTGTGGAGGTTACTTAAACAACGCTGTTGGAGCTTTGAGCAATTATAGTAATAAGGAAAGCTCAAAATTAATCAATCAAAATTTGCTATAAAAAGACATTTAGAAAAAATAATTGCAAAAAACCTAGAATGGTTTCAAAACTAATGTATAATCTTAAACACACACTTGGCTAGTGTTTGTGGTCCTTAAATAATTGGTTTCAAAACTAATATGCATCCATTATCAATATTATGATCATTTGGTCTACATAAAAATCAACTCATAAAATATCAACTCTGAGATTTTTCCATTTTATTCTCTAAAACAAAGTTCCTTAGTTATAAAACTCGCATTAATTCACTGCTAAGTATGAATTTATGAGTAAGAGTTTTCTCAATTTAATTTGTTATATCAAATTTGAGTTCTGATAAATGAAGTTGTTAACATTAATTCAATATTTTAAATTTTAGGTCATTTGATTTAAAAAATATATTTTTAATTTAAAAATATTAGCTTATATTTATTTTATTTTTGAATATTTGTTTATGAGACAGTGGAAACTTTTTTTATTGTTGTCTTTATTAAAAAAAAAAAATAGTCCTTTTAAAGGTTGTAATCATTTTTTTGTTTGCTATTTTTCATCCTCATATATTTTTATTTTTTTTAAATAATTCTTTTCACTGCATAATAACAACGTAGGCTATTTTTTTATATGATTTTTTTAAATTCAAAAAATATGAAACTTTTTGTTAAATTACATAAATATAGAGTTTTGGCAATTTTTGATGCAGTATAAAAATTTAGAGATAAAAATGTAAAAAAGTGATAAAGTTTCAAAAGTCGCCAATAATAATATTTAAAAACAATATTAAAAATTAAAAATTGCGGATGATGATTTTTTAAAAAATAATTAAATATTTAAAACATATATCAATAGTCTTAAGTGGTCATTTTTGTTCAAAAGTTGCCAACGAAAATTTAAAAAAATATATATATTTCCGTAATTTAACAAAAGAATCTCATTTTTTTTGAATTTTGAAAAAAAATCATATATATTGCATTTTATTACGCGAAGTTAGATATTAACTCATGGTGGTTATATGCATGCTATATTATTACAAAATAGTAACAAAATTAAGTTTAAATATTATTTTAATTCCTTTGTGAAACTTATATTTTTTATTTAGCTTTTATATAAAAAAGTTTGTAAGCAAATTCTTAAATGATTTTTTTTTCTTCAAAATAGTACCCAGTATTCGTGTATAACATTTATTATGAATAAAATTTATATACAATATTTAACATGCTTTTTTCACTTTTCTCTAATTAAAATTAAATATTTATTTCTAAGATTAGTACATCTTTTAATACTAACATTTATTATTTTAGTTATTATAATAAATTTTTAATTTTAATTAAAAAATAATACTTAAATAACTATATTTAAATTCTGTTCATACAATAAATAATTTACCACAATTATCCTTAAGAAGTGGGAACAAATTTAATTATAAATTTTAAGTTATAAGATGAAACAACAAAACTGTCACTACATTTTCAAACAAAAAAAAAAGACTTTAATATTTGAAAATCAATATAAGTTCCCATTCTTTCATTGTAATATTTTATAAAGAATAAAGATAATATATTTTCTTATCTAAATCTTGAACATTGTCTTCTTTCTAAATTTATCATGAATCATTAAAATACTTTTTAACTTGTGTTTGATAGTGAATTTTTTTTTACCTCCTTGAACACTATTTTTTTTTATCCTTTTATAAAATACATTTTTTTTATTTAGATCTCTATAATTGATTTTTGTTATAAGAACTAAACTAAAAATTGTGTTATGTATAAGAATTACAATAAAAATACATTATATATAGAAATCAAAATATAAAAAAAATATAAACATGAGATAACGATTTTAAAATAAAAATTAACATCAAAGATTATTTTAAAAAAATTTTATTTAAGGACTTATCTACAAAATGTTTGCAAAAAAAAATAAAAAAAAGTCTTTCCTAAGATTTAAAATCATATTTAAGCCTTCTAAAAATCAAAATTAAAAAAAATATATTAAAGATAAAACTTAAATAAAATCATATCTACAAAAATTTAAATAAACAGTTTTTTAAGATATAATAAAAATTTATATATGTAATAAATTTTTATTAAAATAATAAGATATTATAAATTTTAATATATTAATAACATTAGATACTATAATTTTAAAGAAAAATATGATTTATTAATTTTTATTACAAGTTAAAAAATGAGAAAATTAAAAGTCACTAACTTATTTTACATGCTAAACTAAGTCTTAACCTTTGAAAAATTATTTTTAAATATTTTAAATATAAATATATTAAGAATTTTGTCGATATGATTTTAAAAAATTGTTAGCCAAAGATAAGTATTCTGAAAAAAAATAAAAAATAGAATAAAAATAAGAAACTGGAAATAAAAAATGATTTCTAACCAAACAGGCTCTGAAGATGCAAAGAAGAGATGAGATGTATCATTAAGTCATGTGTTTCACTATCTTGCAGAAAACGCACACATTTTTATAACTTTCTGAACACAACTCGAATGGCGAGATGAAGAAGCATGAAGCACAAGTAGTTTAAGCATGGAATGGAACCTATTTTCCCTTCTCAAGAATAATGGCATCTTTTCATCCACTTTAACAAATCATGTCGTCTAAGAAAATCATATAATATAATATAATATAATATAATAATAAAGTAGTCCTTTTTCCTATGTATTTATCTACCTTTTCACTAGCTAAAAGATAAAGAATCTTCCTTCTCTTCTTGGGTTCATAAATATAAATATCGAGTTCTGTTTATGATTGACAAGTTTCAAACTTCAGATTTGAACAATGTGGGTTAAGGTTTTTCTTCTCCTTCTGGCAACTCCCTTTGCTCTTTTTCACTCAGCAGCTTCTCTTAATCGTAGCAGTTTTCCAGCAGATTTCTTATTTGGAACAGCTTCTTCAGCTTACCAGGTTTTGTTCTGTCCCAAGTTGTTTAACATTTTTTGATGTAAAGGGTTGAATTTTTTATTGTTTTTTTATTTTCTGTTGTATGAAGTATGAAGGTGCAGCACATGAAGGTGGCAGGACCCCAAGCATATGGGACACCTTTACTCATAGCCACCCAGGTTTGCATTTTCTCTATTCTTCTTTATTTTATTTTATTTTTGTTATTTTTTCTTTTTAGTGAAATTATTTGTTCATTTTAAGTAGTAATGGATCATGGTTATATCGCTCTTAAAGTCATTTATAACGATTAGTGGTCATCTGTGAATCGTTTTTTGAGGGTATGTTTCATTGTTTTGTTTCACTACTCACTACTCTATTGAACCGACTAATAATACCCAGAAAGTTGAATAGGGCAAGCTTAAGTAATAAAATAATAAGGATAATGCTAAAATATCTATTGGATTAGCATTGAAGGAGAGGTACTTTAATGACCCCCCATTTCATCAATTTGCTTGACAAAATTTTAATATAAGCCATGCTGCTTGGCAGATGAGTTAGTGAGTTTCTTCCTCCTTTGTATTGAATTGGTTAATGAATTAAACTCAAAATATTGAGACGTTTTTCTTGGTTGTTCAGATAGAATAGTAGACCACAGTAACGGAGATGTTGCCATTGATTCATACCACCGCTACAAGGTACTTTGGTTTTCTTGATTTGAATTCAAAGATCTAGATGAATTTCCTTAGTTGTTGTGATTTGGTTTTGACAAGATTAATGATATTATTCACACACAAAATTTTTGCAGGAAGATGTGGCCATGATGAAGGATATTGGATTTAATGCCTACAGGTTTTCCATTTCTTGGTCCAGAATACTACCACGTGAGAAACTCTAGTCATCCTTTAGTTATCCTCGGATTAGTTGTTTGATAAATGCTATTTATTTTTTAGGTGTTGTAAAATGCTAAGTTGGATCATTGGTTTGCATGATTTTAAGGGAATTATTGACACTTTATATTGGATTGCACGTAGATATTGACGTGTTCAACTGTTCATAATGCAATTAAGCTTAAACTAAATTGACTTTCAGGTGGGAACCTGAAGGGAGGAGTTAACCGAGAAGGCATTGCATATTACAACAATCTCATAAATGAACTGATATCAAATGGTAAGCAAAAGACAATTCTCTCTCACACACAATACCTTGAATCAAACTAAATTAGATGTAGCTTTTTGCTCACAGGACAACAGCCCTTTATAACGTTGTTTCACTCTGATCTCCCTCAAGCTCTTGAAGATGAATATGGTGGTTTTCTGAGTCCCAAAATAGAGTAAGCAATGATGAAATTACAATGTTCTTTAGAATAGAGAAACTGTCCTTCCCATTCACTCCCGGTTGATGGAAAATTGACACTTTGATATTGCAAACAGGCAAGATTTTGCAAATTATGCAGAAGTATGCTTCAGAGAATTTGGTGACAGGGTTAAGCACTGGATTACGTTAAATGAGCCAGTGCTATATAGCACCCTAGGCTATGGAAGTGGTGGATCTCCACCCAATAGATGCTCCAAGTGGGTGGCGAACTGCACTGCTGGTGATTCTAGTACTGAGCCCTATGTGGTTACACACCACCTGATCCTTGCTCATGCTGCAGCAGTAAAAGTCTATAGGGAAAAGTACCAGGTACTGCATTATTATTATTGTTATTTTAAATATAAGTCCATATAGAATTGACTAGAATTTAAGACATAAATTGTGCGATATGTGGTCAGTAATTGACATTGAATGGATTTTCTAATAGATTTCTCAGAAGGGTCAAATTGGGGTAACACTAAATTCTGCTTGGGTTGTGCCACTATCTCAATCAAAAGATGACCGAGATGCAGCATATCAAGGTCTTGCTTTTATGTATGACTGGTAAGTGTTGTTGCCACTTAAAAACGCTCTTGTTTACAGTTGTGTTAATTTTACTTTTACATTATAGTCTATGCGTAGTTTTTCCTTTTCTTGGTGATTCCTCTGGTTCTGGTATCCATATTTTGTCCTGGGTATTAGTAAGTACCAAGATGAATTATAGAAGTGAACTTCAAACATTTTTTGTGAGAACCAAGTATAAATAGCAACCAGTAAATGCTTGACAACTAATCTATAACTACAATTCTCCAGTTAACAAACATGAATACCATAACGCCCAGTTTTATGTTATTTCTGGAGAGACAGTTAGGTTTAACTTGTGCTTTTGTGTTTGTTCAAGGTTCATGGAACCACTTTACTCTGGTACCTATCCCGCTGTAATGATTAATAAAGTTGGGGGACGTTTGCCGAAGTTTACCAGGAGGCAATACTTGATGGTTAAAGGATCCTTTGATTTTATAGGGTTAAATTATTATACTTCAACTTATGCTACCAGTACTCCTTGCCCACGTGAAAAGCCAAATGTCTTTACAGACTCTTGTGTTAGATTTACTAGTAAGTCATTCTAAAATGTAGCTTCTACATCCTTTCTATTTAACTTCTATTGAATTTTCCTCGTACACTTGCTTACTAATGAAAATGATACATTTTGTTGCACTTGCATCAGCTGTAAAAAATGGGGTTCTCATTGGTCCAAAGGTACTTGCATCTGAACTTAAGTTTTACTCACTTTATATTAAATTAGTGCATGACAATGAAAAGTTATCACTATTCACTAGTACTAAGAGTTAAGCCAATTCTATATACAAATGGTTGCACCTCATTTCTCACTATATCTCCTTCATAAGACTATGTTAGAAAAAATTTGAGAAAGTGAATAATTTTTGCAGGCAGCCTCAGACTGGCTCTACATCTATCCACCAGGAATTCAAGGTCTCTTGCAATACACTAAGGAGAAATTTAACAGTCCAATTATTTACATAACAGAGAATGGTAACATTATCCATAATGATCTTCCATACCACTTTTCTTTTCTTTTTTTTCCAAAAATTGAATCTTTACTGCAGGACAATACTACTTTCTCTGTTTACATGAATAGAGTTATTCAAAATTTTGCAGGAATTGACGAGGTTAATGATGGGAAAATGTCACTGGACGACAAAATGAGGATAGACTATATCAATCACCACCTTTTGTATCTTCAAAGAGCCATAAGGTGAGTATAAAGTTAACATTTTGGTTATAAAGGTTAATATACACTTCTTTTTCTGGACTCAACAATTTGAAGCCTAAAACTTGATGACTTGGTAGAAATGGAGTGAGGGTGAAGGGATACTTTGCATGGTCATTGTTGGACAATTTTGAATGGACTGCTGGGTACTCTCTTCGCTTTGGACTCGTGTATGTTGATTACAAGAATGGACTGAAAAGGTACCGAAAAAGGTCAGCTTTGTGGTTCAAAATATTTCTCCACCAATGAAATGGTCCTTGGTACTGGAAGACATAATTGATGGGAAAGATATAAGAAGAGTTTGGTGTTTCGTTCTTAATTCGAGTCGTGTTTTGCTTTCAGGCCACTGTAAGCACTAAGCAGTGCTACTTTGATTATTTATGATAATCTGCAAGAATGAGGTTTCATTGTTATCAGTAGAACTTAGTTTCCTTAATTTGTTTCTGTGCTTGGTTTCTTGCCCCACCTGAACACTCATACAACAACAGCCAAGACCACTCTAGGTTCCCCAACCATGGTAGTCAAAATCGAAATCGTATCTAGGATAAAAAAGTTTATGAAATCACATAAATCGTGTAATCGTGACACTGATAAAAAGATCCTACCTAAAATACAAAATTATATTCGAATTCATATATGCATAAAAAATAATAAAAATAAGGCAAAATAACCTTAAATTACTAACAGCAACAAACTTAGAAGTTACAACAATTCAAAATTCAGAACTCCCACCTGCAGCTTCATCAGAGCTGCTTCCAACTGTAGCAGCCACTGAATTCCCATTACCCATTACCCTTCTAGCAACTTCTTTCCTGAATGACATTTGTAAACAGCTAAACAAATTTGAGTGCAAGAGATCAGAAACTTGAATCTAAGGTCCCAAATAGTGTAGCAACTGAATGATTAGCATGCCCCCACGATCTTACGAGTAACATCATGATTTTAACTATCATTCCCCCTACGCTTATATTTTAATTAATTTCTTAGAATACTTCTTTAGCATCTTAACATTATTCCATCAACTTGTATAAACTAAAAACATGTACAAGATAACTGATAAAACAGTGCAAATTCAGTTTTATATGATTGACTTTACTAGTAATTAATTATAATGATTGTTCCAGTTAAGGGGTGCAGGTGGAATGGATTGATCCTAAATTTTTTTCACTTTTTTATTTTGCTCAAATCCTGAATTCTACAACAACAATGCTCATAACAAAAACAGAAATACTATCAAAGATTAAAATAACATCATGACAAAAAAAAAGATTAAAATAATATTAATTAGGAATTCTTTTGTTTTACTTTTTACTTTTGGGCGTTTTGGTAGGAAAATATATATTATGTACTAAAAAGAGTACTTGGCCATGATTGTTGGAATCACTGAATTCTGGTTGTTTGGTTGAGTCTCAGTAACTTTTTTTATTGGTTTAGTTTCATATTAAGTAAATGATTCTTACTATTCAATACTAATATTCATATCTTCACACCCACTTCACTTTGTTGTTGTTATAATCGCAAACTATTTAAAGTCGCTCTATACACATTTGTGAATGGACAATTTTAAGTATCTATCTACTTTTGTCTCACTAACCCGAGTGAACTGTCACTGTTGTTAATACAATCGTTTAGATCCAGGATTGTAGTTAGATAAACTAGTGTAATTTATCATTGGATTTGGATATTATTGGAGAACAAGTCTCACATTATTGAATTAGAAATAAATAAATAGATATATAAATAAGAAAATTCATCAATCTAAAATTATGTAATTTTTTTAAATTGAAGTTCATCAAACAATGTATATTATGATACATTATCGTGCTGGAAGTATTTAAAAACCTAGTATGGTGACCCATGCGTTCAATCATTTCTTCCAATGTATATTATATAATGTTGAAAAGCTAACATTATTTTGTACACAAAATCAATTCAAGATTTAGTAATAATATCAAAGACATATGTAAGTATTTGAGCACTCTGATGGAAAGATCAAGAGGAGTTTTAGCAGGCTTAAATCCTGTGAGTCAATAGTTAGAAAAACTTTTAATGAAACAACTAAAATTATTTAAAAAATTAAGTGTAATTTGAGACAGTTAATTAGCGTTTTTAATTCATAATGAATTGGAGATTGTAAGCATTTTTCTATCAATTTGAGCAATAACTATTGTTTGAATCAATGGCGTAATGATCCAATGATTATATTTGAGTTGATGACCAATTGAAGTTTATTGTCATTGATTGTAAGTGACGTTAACTTAGTTCATCAAAGTTTAATAATGACGTCAATTTAGTTCCCTAAAATTTTAAAACAAAATTCTGAAACAGATCTTATAGACATAATTTTATTGGATGCTTAGTTAGTCCATCATTTAGAGGGAAAATATGCATTTAATTTATTTTCCCATCTCATAGTAGAGACAATTTCTTCTCTCATCAAGTTAAAAATTCAAAGCAAAATTAAATTAATAAGAAAATTATAATAAATACAAATTTTTATTTTTATTTTTTTTGTGACTTCTTCCTTCAAACTTCAAATTACTCTGTACAATGTTTTTAACTAAATTGTTAAGAATGTCTATTATCACTTTCCTTATCGTTAAACCTTGAAATTAAAATCTTTTTTTTTCTTTCTGTAAAACATCGTTCAATTGTATCACTTAAAAAATAAAAAATCATATTGAGAATGAAAGCATGAATTTGTCTCACATTGAACTTTGATGTTGAGATGAATTTATGTTTAAAAACAATTGTGTCTACTATCTTTTATTTTATATCATTAATTTCTAGCATAAGTGATTTTCATCTCTTATGTTAAACATTTGTTAGAAAGTTTTTTGCTGTGAAATAGCAGTCACAACTCACCCATGTAACTCACTACCCATCCTAAACGAAACTTGCTCAACCCTTCTTGGCCTTAAAAAAACAACTCAACTTATTTATAAGGTAAAATGTCTCCAACTTGAATTCTTAAGCCCAAAACAACCAAAACGGAATTCATATTAAATTGAAGTGTGACCTTAGTCTATATCAGCAGAACTGATATCATGATCGGAATTATAGCTCAAATAATGCACAATGCTGAAGCTCTCCTGGAGAAATAATTACTAAAAGCACTTTATAAGATAAAAACAAGATAAAAAGGGCTCAAAAAATGCACATGGAGAGGGGCAATCCTCACATGTAAGAAACATGGTCCTTTGTTGCTTTGCTTCCTCAACTCTAAGCATTCCCACTTTGGTTTCTCATGAAGCACCCAATCACATCTCTTCTTCTTATCCCCTTTGGCCAATTATTTATCCATTACTTTTTTCCCCTGACAACATGTTCAAAGCCTCAAATGGGCCACCCTTTGCAGAGCTCAACAGTGTAGATTGTCAGTTCTGACAAAAGCAACAATGACCTTTCAATTTTCTTTCAAAAGGAGCCTTTCTATAAGAGGTGACTCACTCATCAAATTAGCATTTAACATCACATAGAGAGAAAATAGGCTCATTAGGCATTAGTTAATGCCAAACTATAGTGACCCACTTGCCACTTTGTTGCATCACCTGTTCTCCCAATAATGCAGGCAAAGTCATGATTGGTGTTTACCCAATAATACAGCTTTAATGGCTCTGGAGCTTCCACTAATTGGTTGCTTCGCTTGTCCTCCAAGTTGGGTACAAACCATAAATGGGTTTGGAATAAGCTAACTTTTTGGATATAACCTCTGTTGGTAACATCAATCCATATCCCAATTTTACAATTTAATGGATTATCCTTCACATTGATGCTGCCATTTGTATGATTATTCTGCTACCAAGATAAACCTTATCTAATTCATGATCTTCTTATTATACTGAGTTCGTGTTATTTTTATACTGAATTTCCCCATCTCGAAGACATGATTGGCAATAATTTTCTGAACCATCGAGATGGCTGTTTTTTCTGCATCCGGAATCAAATTCTTGTGCAGAACTCAATGGAAAATGGTCCTAGCTGGTTCAACTATTTTAATTTATATATTTACCAAAAAAAAAAAAAGCTATGACTTAATCAATAAACAAAAATGGTTAAGTATTAAAATAAATTTTAGTATAATTACTGTCTAATAAAAAATAAATTATTAAATTTTAAAAATTAATACTAACAAATAATGTATTATATCAATATTTTTTAGTATAGTATATCATATTAATATAAATTCACAATACAAACCGTTTAATTTTTGTCAAAAAAATTTACCAATAAACTTAATCTAAAGTAATTGTTAATTTATATACGGATTTTCATCCACTGAACATTTAAGGATTGCGGTTACATTAGTTTCTTCAATTATACTCAAAGGAAAACATATATTATAGTGGGGTTATGAAACTGCATATTATTCTTAACCAATATTATGATATCTTGGAAAAAAAAGAGAGTAATTTGACCACATTTGTACACTATCGAAAACGAAAGTGCCATAACCACTATGATTCAAACAATATGGAGATGGTGACTTGCTTGTGCAATATTCCTTGCTTAATAAAACAAATTTGAAAAGGTTTCAAGAACTTGAGTATTCAATGGTGTAATTTTTAACCTTGTCCTTTAACCCTTCCAACCAAAAACTAAAGCTCACCTTCATTTTGTTTTATATTGCTTGTTTTCCCTTTGTAGATTAGACAAACTATAATTCTCATTTGATTATTGATTTTACGATTCTGACCAATTAACTACCTCTGGATTTTAAAGTTTTGCCAAAATACCATATAAAAATCACTATAACTGATATATCCAATTCAAGCTTAAAAGTAGGAGATATAACTATAAATTTTTTTGCTAGCTCTTTTTGGGCAATTTATCATGAAGTTTCTGGCTTATTCCTGAAGTCTAGGTCCACTATAATTTAGTTTTCTTCTTATAAGGAAAAGGAAGCTTATTTCCCACTCTTGCCTCTTGATTCTCACAAAAGTGTTTCTTAATCTTAAATTTTGATGGTGGAAACCAATTAATTATCAGATGAAATAGCTGTTCTTCCCTTTTGGGGTAAGGCATGTATGAGGAGTTGTTCTCTGAGCATATTGCATCAACTACTATTTACAACCTTGCATATGTTAATTGCTAAGAAACCCAAATGAATAAAGTTGTAAACTTAGACAACTTATAAAATTGGTAGACTACACCCACTTTTCACCTAAATACGACAATATTATAGAGTTCTTATGGTTTAGTAGTTAGAAACGATTACACAACCACCTAATAATCTCATAATCAAAAGCCTAAAATCACTAATATAATCTCATGCACATTCTTGAGGTCCAATTTAATCCAATAGGTGTAGTTAAGCTACGACAATAATCAGTTCTTGGATTCTAAATGTTTTTGACATATCTTGTCAATTCTATTATTGTTTATTCTCAATTTGATGAATATGTCCAAAGACAAACTACATGCATGAAACTTTGATATGACGATACCAAGTCGGTATATTTGAAATTTTGGATGTGTCAAAGAAGCTTCCAACCATAAGCTAATAGGTTACCACCAAAACAAGAGATGATAAATAAGGGTAGAAAAAAAAAACCCACTTTTTAAAAATATTACTAATATGATTGTAAAAAATGTGATAAAAAAGAAGAAGATAAATAACACTTATTATAAGATTAGTTATAATAAGTGTCGTGATCGATGGGACTATAATAATAATATTATAAGATTAAGTGAAACATAAAAGAGGAAGCTTCCTTTTCCTTGAATGGTTGATTCAGGTTGCAATCCATTTTGTGGAGTGGAGAATATTGACCAAATACTCAACGCACCAAAACTTTCCTGCAAGATATGGACCGTACGGTGCATCATCCAACGGATCACACTATCCCACAGAAAAAAACCACATAGTTTAATTCACTGTATAGGCTGGAGCTTATGATTATTGGACAGATAAAATTAGAAAAAAAAAGGATTTGATTTTATAAATATTTTAATAATATTGATATTTATTTAAAATTTTATTTCTTTTCATACTACATTATTTATTATTTTTTTTAAATTCTATCAAATATTTATTTTAAAAGAAGCATTTTTACATATAATCATAAAATTTTTTACAAAGTTGTAAAATTTGAGAAAATTTTAGGTTTGCATATATTAACAATTGATATTTCTTTTCTATTCTTTAATTATGTTTTACTTGACCATTTACTTTAAGAAGTGAGTCTTAGTGGTTAAACAAAGAAATGATAAAATAAATATTTTAATTAAATATTTATTAATCAAAGTCTTGTCATATTATAAATTTTATATTTTAAAATTTTTAAAACAATTTTATATTACTTTTCAGCTATTTAAAAAATTTTATAACAAATTTATGTGAATATATAAAAATAATTTATAATTTTAATAAACTCTTTAACTTATTTAAACAACAATGAGACAGCAGAGGTTAATGCAATATAAACAATTAATGGTAGAATTTAGTGGTTATATTGTTTTCTTGTTTCTATTTTTATTATTTATTTGTTAATAGTCCCTTAATTTATAATTTCACAAACTAATTTTATCCTCTTTGTACCGTATGATATTATTATAAATCTAAAAGGCTCCTGACTTTAAAGATTCCCTTGTCCTCCAATGTTAACCCTCAATTATAAAAGAAAAATGATCAAAAAGTAATTTAAAACATTTAATTATAATAAAATTTGTCATTTATAAAATTATTAATTCTCTTTATCTTTATATATATATATATATATATATATATATACACACACTATGACTGACTTGAACTAAGGGAAAAGATGATTGAAGCCTTAGAAAAGCAATGCAGACATGGCACTGGTTGATCAATAATCATCTTCCACGTGGCAGACACAAACAGAATGATATGAGCAGGATCCAGCTGGCATGTGGGGACTGAAGCAGAGAGCCAGAGAGCATTATGTTCAACACTCAACCATGTTCAGGTTCAGAAATCAAAAGAAAGGAAAGGACATATTTAAAACATAACATTCAAACATATTTAAACTAAAACAAAAATGAATTTAAAATATGATGATAATAATAAAATTTTATCTCATCAACGAAATTCTTTATATAAATTAAACAATTCTTAAAATATTAATTGTTATAATTTTTAAAAATTATTTTGATTTTTTTCATTGAATTAAAATTATGTCATTCATTATCTTTACCATAATTTGAAATACAAAGTATACTATGAATTGCTAATGATAAATCTTTGATGTAATAAAATTATTCTAATGAAGGGAGATATGAATTAATTTTATTATAGTTAGAAATAATATAATTTAGTTTCTAAAAAAATAAAAATAAAAATTAAAAACTCACTTGTCTTCATTATAAGACTAATTAAAATTGCTAAAGCAATATTTAAGTATTTGTATGATAAAAAAGTGTATGGCAGCTGGCTTTTACCATGAAACAACAGAGCATGGTACGCTAAGGCCACACTCATCTTTATCTATATTTTATGTCTATATAGAGAGACTGCTGCCAAACCCAATATTCCATTCTGCATCTTCTATCCTTTTCCTTTCCTTTTTCCACACTCCAAGAATTCTTATATTCATCATGTGTTTCAAAGTTCAAATTGTTTTCTCCACGTTCATCATTCATTTCTCCCTTTACTGTTAGTGTCTACTGTTCTCATACATGTATGCAACTAATTTATGTTTACAATAATGATGATTATGCAGTATGAGGAAATTTTAACTATTCATTTTGTCCTAAATATATATAATTGTCTTTAATTTGAAGAATTTGTTATCAACCATTTTATAAGATTTTTTAATGTTATTTGGTGCATTAATTATTTTTTCACAAAAAGCATTGACAAATAAATTATGTAAAGAAATAATAAAACAATGGGATAAAACCAAGTCAGAGAACATTACTGATAGTTTGGAATTAGATTTCACTAGTCATCATATTTGGGTGGAACAATTATTGCTAAAAGTAGTGGCCGAATTTTGGTGGAAAATTCTACCTGAATTGGTGGATATTTATTGATGATGGATGAGTTAAGAAAATGAAAGGAGTTCAAGTTCATTCCCTACAAATAAGCCATGATTAAATTATAGTTGACAGATTACAATTTCAGGTAGTGAAAAACATATTTTAATTATTATAAAAATCAATGATTCTTTTTTATATAACAATTTACTAATCAAATGATAATATAAGTTTTTAACACAATATATTTAAATTAAATTTTAATTCAAATATCATGTAAATAAAATTCAAGAAATAAATTGGACTCTCACATCTAAGGCATTCTATATTTAAACTCACTCACTTTTTAAAAATAAGATAAATATAAATTATTTGTAAAATTGAAACTCTCTGTTTATCCTTATGTTAATCTTAAAACATTAAACAATTGAAGTTAGAAAACGAGTTGCAGGCACATGAAACAAAATAAGCTTGTCCAAACTAAAAACCGCAGCTGCTTTTTGATTGACGCGTAAGACTAGTCATGGAGAATGGTGTTCCCGCCGCCCCATCTCTCTCTACCATTCGTTCTTTCTCTCTCTAGAAAAAACCATTTACAAGTTACACACAACACAACAAGGCTTTGGAAAAGTGGACTCTTTCTTACATATTATAAAACCCACCAACCAAACAAGAAGCATTAAGTCCTAAAGAAGATTTGAAAAAAAGAGAGAGAGGAATGGCCAAGGCCAAGAACAATGCCAAGAAGTTGTCATACATCTCAGTTCCTTCTCAGATCATAAACTCCATTTCATCATCTTCTCTACAATCTCTGATTGAATCTCCCAAGAAGTGTGCTAGAAACTCCAAGTTCTTCTTCTTCTTCTTCAGCTTTGCCAAGTGCAGGAACCCAAGACTCTTCCTTTTTACTCTCTTTCTCCTTGCTTTTTTTTTCATGCTCAAGTTTGGCTTCAATCTGGATGCCCCATTTTCTCCCTACCCATGTGCAATCTCAAGCAACCATTCAAGATCAAAACTTTGGGTTGCTTCACAGAAGGGTGTGGCTTTGAATGATGCTGCTGTTACTGGGTTGCCACAGCCTCTGATTCCTAATGTGCAGTTACAAGCACAGGTTCCAAGTGGGGTGGTGGATCAGGAAAAGGATGAGGAAGTTGAGAAGAGTGAGTTTTGGAAGCAGCCAAATGGGTTGGGGTATAAGCCTTGCTTGGATTTCAGCAGAGAGTATAGGAGAGAGAGTGAAATGGTTGTGAAGAACAGGAGAAAGTACCTCATGGTGGTGGTTTCTGGAGGGATGAATCAGCAGAGGAATCAGATTGTTGATGCTGTTGTCATTGCTAGGATTCTTGGGGCTGCTTTGGTTGTCCCCATTTTGCAAGTCAACGTCATTTGGGGAGATGAAAGGTAAATTATTATTTTGTTCATGGTCTGAGAATGAAATAAACTGTTACATTTTTGGCAAGTTCAGTTTCAATCGATACTGTTCCAGTTTCTTTGTTAATGTTAGTTGAATTTCTTTCTGGTTGTTCGTGACTGCCAGATGAGAGCCTTTTTCCTTATTGGTGTGTTTTTGTTTGGTTGTTTGCAGTGAGTTTGCTGATATATTTGATTTGGAGCACTTCAAAAGTGTTCTTGCCAATGATGTGCGAGTGGTTTCAGCATTGCCTTCCACGCACCTGATGACAAGACCAGTGGAGGGGAGCCCTCCCCTTCATGTCACTCCTAGTTGGATCCGATCACGCTATCTCAGAAGAGTAAGTGTTTGTTACTATTGTGTTTTGTTCTTGCCATCATACACCACTCTTTGGAAACAGGTTGAAAAATGAATCCAGCACATAAGCTATAACAAGTAGTGTTGAACTAAACGTGGATCCATGACCTCATAAACGTTAAACCAAACACACTATAACAATTTGTAGGCTTCAAATTCCCAAGCTGAGTCCTAAAAATTGCCTTTAGTGCCTGTCTAGTTCTTTGTTAACTTCACATATGACCATTTCATGGCACTAAAATTACCAATACCATAATAAGAGTTGCAGTGTTCTACAGAAGTAGTTAGAGCCCTTCATATCAGTTTATGAGTGTAATACTTTCTGTCGCCAATGTATTAACTTGCATCAGTTCTGCAATGCTAGCTAAGAAAGCTTTGACTAGTGTGGCAAAAGTGGCAATAATGTAATTTTTCTTAAGCAAGAGTTTAACCTAATTCTTGTTGTCCTATGCAGCTCAACAGAGAAGGTGTTTTACTTTTACGTGGACTGGATTCAAGGCTGTCAAAGGAACTTCCTTCTGATCTTCAGAAGCTTCGATGCAAAGTATAGTAAATTCTCTATTCTTGAGGAAAAGGAAAAAGAATAAAAGAAAACGCCCACCTCTTAGGACTTCATTTATGTGACAATTAATAGCAAATTCTAAACGTGCTCACCTATCTTACAGGTTGCTTTTAGTGCATTAAGGTTTGCAAAGCCAGTTCAGGAACTTGGTGACAAGATTGCAGAGAGAATGAAAAGCAAGGGACCCTATCTTGCTCTTCATCTACGGATGGAAAAAGATGTGTGGGTGAGGACTGGTTGTCTACCTGGTCTAAGTCCTGAATATGATGAGATTGTAAACAATGAGAGGATTCAAAGGCCAGAGCTCTTGACAGCAAGATCAAACATGACTTACCATGAAAGGAAGCTGGCTGGCCTATGCCCCTTGAATGCTATGGAGGTTACCAGGTAAATATAATCCTTCCTTCCATATTTGAATAGGTTTTAGATGTCTTGTTAGTGTGACAACTTTTCTCATGGTTTTTTTTTTCATTTATAGGCTGCTTAAAGCTCTAGGAGCTCCGAAAAGTGCAAGAATTTTTTGGGCTGGAGGACAACCACTGGGTGGGAAAGAGGCCTTGCATCCATTAATCCATGATTTTCCACATCTTTACGCCAAGGAAGATCTTGCCTTGCTTGGAGAACTAGAACCCTTTGCAAATAAAGCCTCGCTAATGGCTGCCATAGATTACATAGTCTCTGAGAAGAGTGATGTTTTCATGCCATCTCATGGAGGAAATATGGGCCATGCAATTCAGGTATGTGATTATAAGTAATTCTTTAATTAATTAACCCCCTGACTGAAAGAGAGCCTTGCAAAATTATATTTTAATAATGCACATATACTTAGGTTCAGTTTGAGTAAGCTTCTAGACAAGTACTTATAGGAGAAGAAAATCAATATAAAAATGAGTAAATATTTTTACACAAGTTAAAAGCAACTTATACTGCTCAAGTTTTAGAGAAGTTAGATGAAAGAACTTCTAAAAGAGAGATACAAAAGTTATTTTTAATTTTTGGGAGGAGCTTAATTTATTTTATTAATTAATTTGACTCTATAAGTATTTATCAAGAAGTTTATCCAAACTTTGCCTCAATCTAGGGTCTTTTTATGGGACAATTTCTAATTTCTGAAACTAAATGTTATTTCAGGGTCACCGGGCATTTGCAGGGCACAAGAAATATATAACCCCAAACAAAAGACAGATGCTTCCCTATTTTCTGAATTCTTCCCTCCCTGAAGCAGACTTCAACAGGATTATCAATGGATTGCACCAGGATTCATTAGGTCAGCCAGAACTCAGGACTAGCAAGGTTGGGAGGGATGTCACCAAGTATCCTGTTCCTGAGTGCATGTGCAATGACTCACATTATCATTCTTTCTAATTGAAAATTTAATACCAAAGATTTTGGTACGAATTTTAAACGGTAATTGGTTCGCAAACACGGAAGAAAGGGCTGGTTTTGGCCATTTTGATGGCTTGGGAAGTGCTTCAGGTCACATTCAAGGAGACTACAGTTCTTAAGAGCACCATTTTTGAAGAGCTATAGTGTCAAGCATGCCTCTCCCTACAGGTGTATTCACATTATTTCTTGAACATGCTTAATATGTATACCATTACTATGGGAGGCAGTGTGGAATTTCCATCAGTAGATGATATGCTAAGGCAATGCAAAATAGATCATTCTTTGATTCTTTATATAGTTTGGGTTTGTATAGGATACACATTACCCTTGTTACACTTAATTCTTTGTAGTACACTATGAAGCCTTGTAACTGTTGTACATATCTGTATAAATTCTCAGTAATGTCAAGATATTTGCTCTTTCACTTAATTCAACAGAGGAAGTTTGCACAAGTTTTATTGATAAGAAATAAAAGACTAAAATATAAAGATCAAGAAAAGTAATAAATTCAATTATATTTTTTATAAATATAAATTTTATTTTAAAAATGTTCATGATATTAAATAATATAGGTAGAGTAGTCTTTTTTTCGTAAACATACTTTTAACAATAAAAGAACAATATAAAAAGAATTTAATAATTAATACATCTTGAATATATCATATGTATTTTATAATTAAGACTAAAGGAGAAAATTATTGTATATATTCTTATAACGATGAAATGTGTTGAGTAAAGTAAACATAGTGTTGTTTGTATGTGTTAGAGGGTATTGCAAAGCAACAAGAAGTTACCAAAGGACCACTCTATTTGTATGTGTTGTTTGGATCTCTTTTCAAACTTGTGGCACCAAAAGACAGCATGTCATGGCTTGCAATTGCATGTCCTTTACTTTTTTTTCTAAAAATTAACTACAACATTTTCATTTTCTCATAAATTCATAAATTGGAGAAAATGGTGCACCCATGCACCCTACATATAAAACCATTCATAATGAAGGGCTAAGATGAAACACATAAGATTTGTGATTGTTGGACTTATAAAAAAAAATGATTAAACCTTCTTTTTTTGTTCTTGAGATAGTTAGCATTAGACATTTAGGTTTTGAAATATTAAAAATAGTACGTTAATCTCTTACTTTTATTTCTGTCAGGTTTTAATTTTTAAACTTGAACACTGTTATTAAACAGTAACAAAATATTGGCATGTCATGCTAAATGTCATATCAGATACAGTGTCATTTTGAATAAGTAAAATAGACTGTGTGACCAAATGGTATATATGGCAAAAATTTTCCTTTTCTCTTTAATGAAAAACTTTAATATTTTCTCTAAATTATTTCTCAAATTGCAAATCGTAGTTTTGTTAAGACTAAAAAAATTTAAGATTGAAATTTGTTGTACTCATAAGAAGAAAAATCACATGGAAGATTTGATAATATTCTTTTTCTTAATTTTTTATTAGTCATTTTTCAGTTACAAAGTTGAGTAACAAAACCCTAAATTTTTGTACACCATTGGAGATGAAGATATAGAGGTCTGTTTTGCTTTTTTTTTAGATTAATATTATTTCTTTTCTCTTTCATTAGTGTTAATGTGGTTTTTATAAAATGTTTTTTGTTGCTTTGTGAGAAGAAAATGATAATATGATAGGAAGCGGTCCCCTTATGTTCGATATAATTTTTTGCTTTTTAAAAAGAAAAAGATAATGTAAATGGAGGTAGTCCCCTTCTCTAACACCAAACTATGGACTTGGCAATTCTTTCCCTTGCATCTTTCTCTACGCATAGTCCTCCTAGTACTTTTATTAGGAAAAAATGGCTTTTCTTCACTTGGTATTAGACCTCCACTGCGGTGTCAGTATTGCTCCCTCCTACGTTACATAGAAAAATATTATTCTCAAATCCTACAACTCAATCACCCACTACCAATTAATTATGCTTCCGCCTTCTCTGCAACAACACCTAGTTGGGTGTTTGATAGAGGTGCTAGTCATCATGTGACCATAGATCTTAATAATTTGTATCTCTATTCAAAATATGACGGCCCCGAAGAAGTTCAAATTGGTGATGGTATAGATTTGAAATTTTGACACATGGGTTCCACTACACTCCCTACTTCTACTACAGTCTTTAACCCTTATAATGTTCTGAGTTCCTAATGCAAAATGCAACTTATTCTACACTCCTTACTTCTACTACAGTCTTTAACCTTTATAAGGTTCTATGTGTTCCTAATGCAAAATGCAACTTATTCTTAGTTTCAAAATTTTATAAATCAAATATAGCATATCTTGAATTTCACCCCTTTTGACACAGGATCAAGCAACAGGAGCAATGTCGATGTCCCATCCAAGTAGTGGTGATCTCTATACCATTTGTCCACAATTTTCATCATCTCATACTGCTCTATCATCCACATGTTCTCTTTCTTCAATTTGGCTTGCTCAACTTAATCATCCTTTCTTAAGAACACTCACTCAAATGATGACAAGTTATGGCATTTCTATAAACTTAGCGAATAACAAGTTGCATTATGTTTCTTGTCATATTAATAATAGTTATAAACTTCATTTTTCTGTATCTTCTATTCAGACATGCTTTCCTTTGGAACTTATTTTCTCTGATGCTTGGGGTCCCTCTCTAGTTACTTCTATTAATGTTTATAAGTATTATCTTGTTTTTGTGGATGATTTTATCTGTTATTTTATAATTTATCCCTTAAAAAATAAAATTGAAATAGCTGCTATATTCCCACAATTTTGTGCTAAAGTTGAGACTACGCTTTAAATCAAAATAAAATCAACCTACATTAATGGTGATACTGAACATATAAAATAAAAATCATATTTCAATTCCAATGGAATCTCTCATTATATTAGTCTTCCGTACACTTGAGCATGTTGGAACAGCACAACAAAAATATTGCCATATAGTAGAAACAACTCTCACTCTTATGCCTTATTCTGTTGTTCCAAATAATTTTTGGTGTTTTGCTTTTCAAATGGCTATCTATCTAATTAATAGGATGTCAAGTGCCCAACTCCAAAACAAATCACCACATGAAAATCTTTTTGGTTGCAAACAAAATTACTTTAATCTTAGAGTTTTAAGTTACCTATGTTATCCTTGACTTAGACCATATTCTAAACACAAATTATCTAATCAAAGCTTGCCCTATGTCCTCCTTGATTACTCTTCTCAATATCATGCTTACCAATACTTTCATCATCCTACTAAAAAGTTGTATCTCTCAAGACATGTGGTATTCCATGAATCAATCTTTCCCTTTCAACCTAATTCATATTTCTCGTATCCTTCTACATATCCACCCATATTATCTAATTTAAATACTTTTAATAATAACAACTCCCTGTTTCTATCTAACCACCGTCTTATATTAAGCACTATACCACAACAAATCTTCCTTCAAATCCATCTCAAAATCCAAATCCATCCTTATCTACACCACCACTTGTCTCCTTATTATCTAGTCAATCAATTGAGTCTATTCACAATTCCTCCTTGAAATCTCCACCATGTATGGATACTACTACATTAATATCACCTTTGTTATCCCTTCTGTCATGACCTATCACAAGAGCAATGAATAATATACACAAGTCTAATACAAAATATCTTTTTGCCACCAAATACCCAATGCCTTCATTAGTGGAATCCACATGCGGCCTAGTGAATAATGTGATGCCACGAGCAAGGAATTTAATGCCTTAGTTCAACAAGGAATTTGGGAACTAGTCCCATGTAAAAATAGAAACAGGTCAGGTCAAGTCAGACTTTATTCTAAATAGGCTAGATCTATAACATAATTATTAAGTCTGAGCTTGACCTAAAGCCTATTAACAAAGTTTGCTAAAAAAAATATCTTAATATTAATAAAAATATAATTATTTTATTATCAAATTAATTTATATATTTTTAAATTTTTATCTGTGTTATTAATAATTATTAAATAATAATTTTTAAAATATTATTTGAGTATTAACTATAAATATTTTCATATTATAAAATTTTTATATTTTTATTTTTCATAATTTAATTTTATAAAATTATTAAAGTATTAACGATTTTAATAATTTTTTTATAATAATTATATTTTATTTGTGTAAAGACATCTTATATTTAATAAATAAAATCACAGTAAATACAAAATTGATAACAAAATATAACACTCACAAAATTTGTTGAATCAGCTAAAAGAAAATTATATTTAAAAAAGTAAATAAATATCGTCATTATAAAAATTGTTGATAAAAAATATTCATATTATAAAATTCATGAATGCAGAAAAATAACATATGAGCATAGTAAGAACTAATAAATTTTATATTTAAATTAAAACAACTTATATTTCTAAACTTTTATCTTAATAAAAAAAGATGTGATAAAACTTAATATAAAAATTTAAACTCAATGCATTATATATATATATATATAATGACAATAATAATAATTATTAAATTAAAAAAAATAATTATAAAATATATAATTTTATTTATTTCATTAATTTTTTATTTTAAATTAACAAATATACATAAAACTAATTATACTATAACATTAATATAATATAAAACATATTACTGATGCAATACATTAAAATATATATTTATATACTATATGTATAAATTGATAAATTAATTAATAATATAATTTTTTTTATACTTTTTTGTTTGTGTAAATATTTATTAATTATTAAATTTCAAATGTATATTAACAACTATATTTTTTAAGAAAAAATCTATCTACATCTATGTCAAATTCATTAAAATTAATTATTTAAAATTTGTCATATTTATATTTAAGTGTGTGGTTATGTGCTGTGAACCTGGTATCTAAAATTTTTTTATAGTTACTTTACTCAAAAAATTTATACTAATAAAAATAAAACATGTAGTAAGTTACAAAAAATATATATTATTATATATAATTTATTTAAAATTATATTATTTATATTATTTACTATGATCCTATTATATATATATATTGTATATTTAATTTTTTCTATTATTTTTTTATAAAATTCTAGTTTTGAATAAAATATAATTCAATTTTAAATAATTTTTATTTAGTATAAAGAAAAATAATTAAACATAATATAATAATATAATCATTAAATAATTAAATATTAATAATAATAAAATTAAAAATATAAAAAATATATTAATATAATATTATTATTTCATTATTAAATTTTAGGCTTAATTATATTTTTTGTCTCTATAAATATAGGTCTTTTGTGATTAGTTTCTATAAATATTTTTGTTAGGAAGTGATTCTTCTAAAGTTGATAATTTAGGAATTGGTCATTGTCGTTATCCATATCCCTATTAAGTGCTGAGCTGACTTTTTGTTAGTCAGCTCAGCACTCCATGTGGTGCCACGTTATATGCCATGTTATTTAAATTT